AGTTGACCGGTTTGACTAGTTGACTTTGTTTGACTTTGACTTGACCGAAATTTGATGGTTGTCACAACGGCGGCGGCCACCACCTCACGGTGGTGGTTATGGTTCTTGTTCAATCATGTCCAAGCACTCCAAAAGCAATCCAAACACAGACTAAGCACACCGCCACCCAACACGGCGGCTGGTGGCGGCAGGAGGCGACAGCAACCACCCTACGGTGGTGTTTTGAGTTTCTTTTCATTATTCTTCTTTCTAGTTACATTTTACAACCCAAAACCCCAAATAACTCACACACACTAATACAAACACACACACACACAACCACCCTAGTGGTGGTCGGCGGTGGCATGTGGTGGCGGTGACTTCCTTGGTGTTCCAACCACACAAAACACACCCAACACACGTTAGAAGCAGAATCACACACCCATACAAACTCACAGCCACCTCCCACGGTGGCTGGTGGTGTCAAGATACGGCAGCGACGACAGAAACTAGAAGAAATGGCGGCAGGCGGTGGTTGACGGCGGACTGCGGTGTTTGGCAGCAACTCAAGTGGAACAACAACATACACGACCACAAACGGAACCTCCGAGTAAGCTATCCACAGGAAGTCGGGGACCACTTTGTCTTCAACAGAACCGGGCAGCTGCGGCACAACAACGCAACAACGACGCTTATGGTGGCGGTTAAGGCGTTTGGATGGCGAAGCAGTGGCGGCCGTCGGCTGTGAAACAGCACAGATGGATGGTTTCGCCGGAAGTAGTGGTTCGTCAGTTATCTTGGTTCTTCGGTGGCTTGGTCGGTCGGAGAAGCAAGCGGGTGGGGTGGCGGCCGGTGGTGGGAGGCATAAGGATGGAGGGTGACGGCCGCACATTTGTTTAGGGTTAGGGTTACCGAATGGGTGACGGGTTTATATACCCGGTCCCCTTAACTACTTTCCATAATACCATCTTTAGTCCCTCCCTTCCCTTTTCTTTCAAAGTGAGTCCATATTTTACCTTTTTAACCCTGCCTCCTGAAATCCTTTACAAATTAGGTCTAATACTTACCAAATATCCCCCCCCCCCCCCCCCCCCCCCCCCGCCTTCTAAAATCTTTACAAAATAAATCTCGAATTTATACTTTAATCCCCGAATAATCCAACTTATGACATTTGGCTTCCCAAAACCAACACCTTGTTATATAATTATTGATTTTAGGGCTACTATACATTCATTAATTAATTAATTAATTAATTTAATAAACAGGGTGTTACATAATTGTTGCCTTATTATGGATTGTTTTGCTACTAGTTGTACACCCTATGGATGTCACTTTTGAAACAAAAGTATATTGTCTTGGTTTTTGTGAAAACATGTTTTAATGATTATGATCTAAAACTTAAAAATATTTTAAAACCATAGTATCTCAATATGTAAAAAAACAAGGGTGTTACAATTGGTATCAAGGCCAAAGTTTAAGAGAATTAAGTTTGGATTGTCCATGCCTAGGCTTAAACTGTGAGGGATAAAAAATAAATCTAGTATTGTAGGATCACTTATAGTAACATCAGTAGGATTTATATGTTGTGTGTAACTGTTAGAACTATCATGCTACAAGCTTTACTTATATGCTTTTGAATGATAGATACAATACATATTTACTAAACTAGTATAAATTATAGAATGATGCGTACGAGAAGTGGGCAAGTGTCTCAACATGACGGGAAATGATCCAACCTGACGCAAAGTGGTGGATCGTCTTAGCCCAAGGATGGGGGAAGTACATAAATGAATCTGAATCCTCAACGGGTCATGTTGGAAGCAATCTGAAAGCTTCTTCACGGTTAGAAAGAGAAAAACGAGCAAGATATGAAAAGATTGATTGATGAACATTTGGGAACTTCTTCCCAAACACCTTCGGTTATCCCTTCAAGCTCTCAAACTGCCAGAGGCACTGCTCAATCTTTGGAATCCGTATATAAGAGTCCTCCGCCCATTATTGTAATGAAGGGATGTTCCTTTAAATCTGACATGGCCTGTAATACTAAGGAATATGAAGAGAGTCGTGACCCAAAGGTCACTATTTGTTGGATTGTCGAAATTGTTCGAGTTCTTGGAGTTAGTAGTTGTAGTGGTGAGCAGAAGGTCATATATAATTCTTAAATGCTAAAAGATCAAGCTCTTACTTGGTGAGAGACGGTGTGTCAAATTCTAGGGGACGAGTTGATTTTTAGGATGAAATGGGAGGAGTTTGTTAGTAGGCTAAAGGCAAAGTTATTTGTTGCTCGAGATATTAAAAACTTAGTTGATGAGTTCTTTGATCTCAGCAAGGGAAGTATGACTATTGACGAGTACACGGAAAATTTCACAAATATGCTTCTATTTTTGGAAGATACGCACCAACTCGGAAGGGAAGGATTAGCCACTATGCCAAGGGATTATTAGCAGACTATTCGGTTGAAGTTAAGAATGTAAGCACACTTGATGAGGCAATAATTATAACTCAAAACATCGAAGAAATGATTAAAAAAAAAGCAAAAGAAAGACACGTGATCGGGGATAAAAGACAACAAAGTGGTTATATAGGTTCTAGTAAGAAGGCCCTTTTCGAGTGGCGGTTAAAAATTTGGTGACATTCCAGAATGTAAAAAGTGTGGAAAGAATCATCCAGGCGAATGTAAAATATGATAGTACAAGGCAAACCCGGGAAATTGTTTCAATTGCGGCTAAACCGAGAATAAAGTCGTAGACTGTAGGGTGAGGGATATAGTTGATGTTGAATGTTATTTGTGACACGAAAAGGACACTACCACATGAATGTCTGAAGAAAGGAATTGAAAACTTGGCATCAACAATAAGTAAGAAAGCGCAACCGACTAATGTGAAAGGACGCGTAGTTCAACTGATGAACAAATAAGCCACGGAGGCCCACGATGTGGTTTCACGTACTTTACTCATAAATTCCTTATCTGCGACTTTATTAATTAATTCAGGTGCAAATTACTCTTTTATATCTCATGGATTCTAAAGAAAATTTCTACACCATTAGTACCCCTAGATGAAACTTACATCATAGAAATGGCTACCAGCGAACATATTTATGCACGCCATGTTTACCGAAATTGTCTTGTGGAAATCGACGGGAGAAAATTTAAATTTGATTTGTTACCAATGGGAATTGAAGGCTTTGATGTCATTTTTGGGATGGATTGGCTTGGAATAATCATGGCAAGATATTATGTGAAAGTAAGATCGTCTCGACAAAGATAAACAACGGAGAAAAAGTTTGTGTACGGAGAAAAGAATCGTCGAATGCAAAGTATAACTACTACGATTAAAGTCGAAAATGCGTAAAGAAAGGAAGTGAGTCGTTTATCGCTTACGTCCTTGACAGGAAGAAGGAAAAGAAAAGGTTAGAAGAAATAAAAGTCGTACGAGATTTTCCAAAAGTCTATCCTGGCTTGCCTTCCGAAAGACAGATCGAGTTCCACATTGATCTCATACCTTTACTTGTGCTCCATACGGTCTTGCTCCTACGGAGATGCATTAATTAATGTCTCAGCTTCAAGAATTACTTGATAAGGGCTCTCTAAAATCGAATCTTTGATCCGGCTACCACCAAGTTCAAGTGAAAGATAGTGACATTGAAAATACGCCATACCGATATGAACCGAGTTTGTAAGTCTTTTCTTGGCAACTCGGTTATCGCGTTCATCAACAATATACTCATTTATTCCATGAACGAAAAAGAAAAGGTAGTATAGTATTATTTTATTTAACAAGATCACTTGCATTCCATATATCATTTATAGGATTCTAAATACGGGTTTATCCTTTTAAAATTAATACGGACTTATAAAATTGTTCTGCAAGTCACAAGTCCCATATCACAATTATCTATTTTTATAGACAAAATTATTGAAACCGGAAAGGGACTTGATGTCTTATTTCTTTCTGGAATAATACAAAATATATGCAGTTATATGGTTACGAACTTTACAAATAATTTTAACAGCAATATTCATAATAAATTATTATAGCATTCAAGATTGGTTTTGGCTTTTTTAACCAAAAAAGACTACTTGATTTTTGGCATATAAATCATATACACAATTTAAACATTATTCTATGCAATAATTTCAACATCCAACTTTAAAACTTATGTCATCATTTATTTATGTCTATTAGATTTAACACTAAAAACAAAAACGATAAGAACAAGATGTCCCAAAAGCATACAAATATGCAATCTATGATGCAAATGCAATGGAGCCACTCATTATATGCTCTGCATTAACCCATTGTACCACTAAATTAACGTATCCATAAAATACACACAAAAAAAAAAAAAAAACAAAAACAAAAATAGGAGACAAGAGCACCGATAATACTAAATATAATTAAATTAACACATTACATTAAACAATACATTATACTTAAACACGTTTTATATATTTATCTAACTTGCATACGTCATGCTCATGCTCATGTTGTCGACTGTTTCTGGAAGAGTGTAAATAAGTTAGGCCAACGCAATAACAAAATTTAACATTATGCTTAAATAGTTTTAGAAAATAAGTATTAATACCATAAACCCCCCTAATGTTCTAAATATTTCAAATTCATCCTTTTTAGTTTAAGTTTATAAAAACTTCCATAAAGCAACAAATTTACCTTTTCTTTAAGGATGTTTTGGCTGGCTTTAAAGTACTGATTTGGATGATTTATTCCAGTGTCACAAGAAGCTCCATGAATAGCTTCAAAGGTTAAAGTGCATGCTAACTACAATCCAAAACATATTATAAATTACAATTAATAAACACCTCAGAATCTAATAATTAAATAACTGAGTTTATTTTTTTATATACAAACCTGATAATGTCTCCCTTTTGCTTTATCCACCACTTGCTCCAATTCTCTGCTGCTTACTCCCATTTTCCCAAGAGCAGCTCTTAGATTTTCTTCGCTGTAAACAAAATTTGATAAAACTTTTCTTGAATATTATTAAATTTGGGAAATGAGAAAAATAGTAATAATTAATTTTTAAGTTAAATTTGTTAACCTAAAATGACGATAAGGGCAACCATGATGATCTCCAACACCTGGAGTTGATAGGATGATTTTCTGACAAGAAAAAGGTGTATAATCCTGAAATTTAAAAAAGATTAACTTATATATGTCAAAACCCATAAAAGATTTTTAAAAAATAATAATAATAAAGTAAAATGGTATCAAAAAAATTGAAGCTTTATTTATTATTTATATACCGTTCTCTTTCCTTCTTTACCAAAATTGTGACGTATTCCATATGCATATTCTTTGTCAAATCTCTCAGCTCCAACCTACATATATAAACCCTAATTACAATTTACACACAGTAGATACACATAAAAACACACACAAACACAAAGTAAAATTATTAACCTTTTGGGAGAACTCTGCTTTCCAAAATGCAAGTGCATCATCCAACTTCAACCCAACTCCCTAAAATATATTTTCCGAGATTACAATTACAGTAAAAAAAAAAATTAAAGTATATAACTTAAATGCAAATGATGAGTTTAATTACCTTAAGAAACAACCCTAATTGCATCCTCCCTCCATGTTTCAAGTGATGATCATCTCTTAACTAATTATATTTTGTGAAAGGGTTACAAAATATCAATAAAAAAATTAATCGTGAGAAATAAAAATATATAATCATTTAATTTACTTACTGAGTCAAAAAGATGACGCATACACAAAGGAAATGAGCTTCTGGCTACTTGATCAATGTCTTTCAGAGATATTTCACCAAATTCTTTGTCCTATTAAGATTCATAGTAGCATGATAAAATCATATATTATTAATATATAATATAATATAACAATTGTAATTATTTGAAATTAAACATCATAACAATATAACATACCTGGGTATAATCAGGACCAAGGTAACTGGTAGATAGAGCTTCAACAATCTAAGTAATGTAAAATTAAACAAAATTAGACATGGAACTTGAGAGAAAGATTAAAATAAAACATAATCAGATTTAGAAACTCACAGGTGTTAATCTGTCCTTTTCCTGTTCTCTAATCATGGATGTCCATTTTCTTGAAAGTAGAAGATGCTCAAAACATTCAGTAAAATACTTAACAGATACAATAATTATGGAAATGAAATCATTGTTAAAAAATTGAAAATTTTCAAACAAGTTGAGAAATAAGTTAATAACCTGTTTGTGAGGACAAGGGCTTTTGAAAGATGACTACGAAAGTGTGGAATCACAAATGAGACAACCTGAGATTAGAAACATGAATTGGATAATTATTTGTTATTTGTTATTTGTTAATGTTATGCTACATTATTATTAAATGAAATTGATGATTTAATATTTATTCACCTGGTTTAAAGCAACATATGCATATCCTTTCTTAATGAAGACTCTGCGACTTCCCACAAGTTCAGAAACTTCTTCCCATGGAACCTAATATCATTCAAATAAAAAAGGTCAAATCTTTATAAAGAAAAGATCATTAATGAAATATATAAATATGTATAGAGTGTGTATTGAGGTTCAACTAGGTGATGTACCTTGTAATATACTGTATCAGCTGTAGTATATAAAACACCAAAGAAAATAAACTATGTTAGAGCACTTGAACTGAAAAACAAAAACAAGGACTCAAATCATTGAGGTGAATGCATTTATGACATACAAGTGGGTAGTTGTTGCCCAATTGAGCGTGCAACTTGGCTCAATTTTTCCTTCAAACCCTGAAAAGAATCAAAAAAAGGTTCACAAAAGTCCTTATTTTGGAAGCATATTTGTTTAATGAACAAGAGTAATGAAATGAAAACCTACAAATACCTCAAATTCTGCATTTGTGACAGATTTGTAAGGGATTCCAAGCTCTGTCATCAACGCCCTCTGTGATTCAAAATCAAAAAACCATTAGCAAAGATAACAAGAACATGTATAAAACTTTAGTATTCATATGAATCAAAACAGAAATCATACGTGTACATCAGAAGTTTCAAGGCGAAATCTGTAGCGAAAGAGAGTGCTTTCCATTGAAAGAAACCATTTCCTTAGTTCCTCTCTAGAGTGTCACAAGAAAGAGGGATTAATTGTTGATATAATTAACTCATACATGAAAAAGACACAAAGGGTAAAAGATGAAAAGGTTACGTTCGACAATACACAAGGCGCAAAACAAAATGGGATATGATGTCTTTATCAATAATTTCTGATGTATTTGGATGTCTCATATTGGCCTTCCATAGATCACTTACCTACATGCTCCAAAAGAAGAATAAACAAACATGAAACACCACACTATTTCAACAAAAAGTAACATAACAATTAACAAACTCCACTGACCAATTTTTCCATTTCATCAGGTTTCTTTCCTCTAGCCAATCCATCAGAAATCCCTCTCAGAACTGCATAAGTAACAAATGAAACAATACTCAGTTTACAGGAAATTGTATGTAAGCTTCAATCAAATTCCAAGAACCCAAAACTTATTGATTTAGTTATCCATCTCGTGTTTAGATATATAATCCTAAATCAACAACTAGTAATATGCATTCCTTCAAAAACTAACTTATATATAGAGTACTTTATATGATATGTTAGATATTATAAAGTCAATAACATTTTATACTTAAACATCATTACAAATACCTCAACAGAACCTTTATATTGAGCCATTTATCATATATGATAACTATTTCATGGATATTCGTTATTAGTAAGTACTGTAATAAATTAACTTGTGTTTACATAATCAACATAGGTTAGAACCTGAGAAAAAAAAAACAAACAAACAACCTCTAGGGAGTGAATATACTACAATTCCCAATCTTAGCAATTTAAATTTGCATATGCGAATGACGAATGACGGATATAATTCATATTTATCAGACAAAGAGGGAAAATATACGGTAAAGAGATAGATACCGGACCTAGGAGCCGATCGACAGCGAATCGCTCGAAATCTTCGAGCCTAACTTCGAGAGTGGGAGCTGAGCGATAAAGAGGGATGGTAGAAACACCATCTGCTGATGCTGATGAAGGTTTCTTCTGAGATCTGACGACTTCCATTACAATTACCGATTGATTCTTCGTCTGAATCTTCCACCAGAGAACAACACGATATCAATTGGCAAAGTAAGAAGAGAAATGGCGGGAAATAAATCCTCAGTTCCCACCAATTTTCCAGAGCAGTCAAATTAGGCTAAATACGGTAATCACTCCGTATATGGATATATGTATTGTTAGCTATAAATGGGCCAACTAGTCAAAGCCCAGAAGCCCACAACCATATAAGGTAATCAACAATACATGATGCTATTGGTTTCGGATCAAATTTAAAACAGTCTCGTTTTTTTGGATCGGTCTTGTAGTGATTCGGTTTTTTTATAGATCAATCTTGAGCGGTTTCAAAACGGTCTTTTTTGCGGTTTTTGCATGCATTTTTTTTGGTTCAGATCCAGTTTATTTTTGGTTTTTTGGTTTCGAATTTTCCCGTTTTCGGTTCGGATCCAGTTTATTTTTGGTTTTTTGGTTTCGAATTTTTCCGTTTATATTAAGAAGTACATAAAATGATATACTAGAAGTTAATAAATGAAATAAAAAAATGTTTGGTAATATATGATTAATAAAAAAAAAATGATAAGTGTATAAACTTTGGCTTTCGTTTTATCTAGAGACCAGTTAATCAGTCTCGGACCGGTCTTTATTTGGTCTCAGAACGATGTGGTCTCTTTTATTGTTTTTAAACAATGTCAAGAAACCAACCAATTGACATTAAACAAAAAGAGAATAAAAACTTACACCGGATTTCGAGCATCAACAAACGGTGTTTCCACTGGATTTCGAGCATCACCAATCAATCTGATTTAAGCAAAAAATAATCACAATAAACTTAGCGAAATTGATATTCGAGGTTATCTTGGTTCATCTCAAGATCATGTACGCAATTAAAAGTGTGAAAGAGGAGAGGAAGGCATGATTACGAGTATGGCGGAGAGAGGAATGAGAATATATAGTATGAGAGACAAGTATTTATATCGATCATGAGAGAGAACTCGACGATTTGAATTGTACGATTTTAGGTTCTAGCCACCGAATATTCACTCGAAGAAGAAGAAGGCGATGTAGTAGATAATTTATAAGATAAGTAATTCTACTTAATTTATTTTATATATTTTTTTATTCTTGACATCTATAGTGTGTTTACGTGTGATTTTAGAAACCGATGTTCAGTCTTAGTAATATTGAGTTGCTTAAATATAATAAATAGCAAAGTATTATTGTATTTTTATTAATTTATATATTCTAACATCATAATTTTATTTAGTTGATTCAATTTTTGATTGTTTTTGCATTAAGAAACTCCCATGTTTGATTCATCAAATTATATGCACGGATAAATGGTGGATTTTAGACATGACAATTGCTAGAAATCATTATATAGTTAGCCTTCCACTAAGATGCGAAAATTTACAAAATACTTAACTGTGATAGTTCTTTCCAACCTATCATTTATTATTTCAACAATTAATTAATAATTTTTATCATCTCAACATTTAACTCTTTGTAAACACATTATGAATATTGTAGAAAAACATATTTCAATATTACAAAAAAAAAAAAAAAACATAAACTTTTGAGATATATATATATATATATATATATATATATATATATATATATATATATATATATATATATAT